TGTATTTGACATTTTCTTTTAGGATGTATTAAAAAGTTTCCATTCTGTCAAGTAAGTACAGAAGAAGGCAAAGGGAAGATCTGGTGGAATCTTCGGAAAACCTGCTACAGTATTGTTGAACACAACTGGTTTGAGACTTTCATCGTCTTCATGATTCTTCTCAGTAGCGGTGCTTTGGTAAGTGAAAGGCATATTGGCAAAAATCAGGTTCTAGAGGAATAGTTGATTCTCAGAGATATCAGAGAGCATATACTGAGTTTAAGAATCAAAAAAGGAGGCATATCTGTGCCTTGCAGATCTTGGCATCTGGGGTTTAACTGTGCAGAATTCAGTCCAGAACAAATCAGAACCATGAAACAGCCAGATGGAATTTCTCATCTGGTGTTTATCTAACAGATGTTTTCCTCACTGAGACAACCATTTGCAGAGACATTCTGTAACTATGTTACCTACCCTGTTGAACGCCATCCAGTATTTCCTAATAATTATATTAACATTTATGAACGAAAAGTATTTTTTGTTTTCTTCATGTATAATCAACTTATTCTTACAAAATAAGCCAGATCGTCCAGGAAATCACAGACAGTAATGTTAGAATGGATCAACCCTATTCCTCATTAAAGAAATTCTAATTATTTTCTGAGTTCATATTACTCTACTAACAGCATGTGTTCATATAGTAATTGCCCAGAGACTTTGGGGTGAAAAGTAGGGGGGAAAGTATATACTGTATCAATAAATACATTGGCCTTTTCCTGCCAACGTTTTTCACAGTTACTCTTTGCCTTTAAATTTTGTCTGATGGTCATTGCTTGTGTGAAACAACAATATTTATAAAAAATATTGCTTTGTGGTTTGGCACCTGTAGCTCAAACGGATAAGGCGCCAGCCATATACACCAGAGATGGCAGGTTTGAATCCATCCTGGGCCTGCCAAACAATAATGACAACTACAACCAAAAAATAGCTGGACATTGTGGCAGGTGCCTGTCATCCCAGCTACTTGGGAGGCTGAGGCTAGAGAATCGCTTAAGCCCAGGAGTTGGAGGTTGCTGTGAGCTGTGATGCCAGGGCATTCTACCCAGGGTGACAGCTTGAGGCTCTGTCTCAAAATAATAATAATAATAAGATAAATAAATAAATTGCTTTGTACTCAATATTATGCTAAGAAGTTTCTTTTTTCAAATAGTTAAAGGAGGCAAACCACTCAAATAAATTAAAATATTCTTGATTCTCAGGCATTTGAAGATATATACATTGAACAACGAAAGACTATCAAAACCATGCTAGAATATGCCGACAAGGTCTTCACCTACATATTTATTCTGGAAATGCTTCTCAAATGGGTAGCTTATGGATTTCAAACATACTTCACCAATGCCTGGTGCTGGCTAGATTTCCTGATTGTTGATGTAAGTACACAGAATGATTTTTAGGGAATTATTTTTAGAAGAGGAAGGTTGACATTTTATATATTTCTATGATTAAAACCTTGATTTTGAGTACCAAGTTTCACTAATGCAGACATAATTATGCAGTTGTTCTCTAAAAAAAAAATTATAATAAATGCAACAATGAGGAGTGGCTCATAGAAAAGAGTGGGGGAGGTCCTAAAAATGTGGACAGTGGTCAGGGAAGACCCAGAGAGAGAGGTGTTCTATACCACAAGCAGAAAGTTCCTTTTTCCTGAACCTTAAGGACCTCAAGGTAAGAAATAGGTAAACAATCTATAATTGACAGGTCTCAACACTTAGCTTATTAACAATCTAATAAAGAAATGTCTCCAGGAGGTCAAAGCAATTTTGGGGAAGGGGGGGGGGAATGTTTTTGAGAATGCATTTTAACCCTTTATGGGAGTACACGTGACTAAATGATATTAAATGAACCCATTTACTGTATTCATTCTGCTACATACTCACAGAGACAGTAAAATGCATTTCCATTTTTAAATCAGTTGTTGGATATCCCAGTAGCTAATAAGATATTTACCATGCAAAGAGTTTGGTGTAGGTCTGTTCTGAATCTGATTACCCTGGGGTAAGGAGTCATAGGAACATTGCCAATTGTGGAATCTGTCTGGCTTGCAGCCTATTTTTTCGTTCCAAACCATGGAGAGGCACCGAGGCAAAATGACAGTCTCCTGGTTCTTTGTAGTCTGTGATACTCCATTGCACAAGGCTTCACAGTCTCCAGCAAAACAAGATGCTTCAAGCACTATCTCTAGCTGTTTCCTAGCAATCATAAAGCACTTTATTTTTAGCTCTAACAGTCGCCAGTATGAATCGATGATTACCATATGTGTGCATTCATTCTTTTTATCATTTTTAACAAGTCTGGGTCTATCCAAATTCTACTCACCTTCCTCCCACACATACATGCTCATAATTCCATAAGCAAAATGTGCTTAACCCTTTAAATTGATAAGAAATATGCTACCGAGTAACTTTTAATAGACCAAGAATGACATTCCATGTCTATGGCTGGCCTTTCATGAATAATCGAGAGGAATTTTAATACTGCTCTAAAACGCCATCCTATAATAGGAAGTTTGATATTTTCACCTTCTGCAGCTAGAATGGACCTTAAGGCATGTTAGCCTTTATTCTAAACATTAGGAAACTGAAGTCTCAGTTTAAATCATTTTCCTTAGATAGCCCAGGTACTTACCAATAAAGCTGACACTAGTGACCAAATTCCTAATTCTCAATTCAGCACTCCTGAAGATTTCCTGTCTGACTAATCCACTATAAATACATTAGTTGTAATAAGCAATTGTGTGTATTAGAGTGGCTTCCAGATTAAGCATTTAAATCTTCTTACAATTTTCAGAAGGCCAAAAAGATACTCTCTTCAAATAAAAAACTAAATATGCCAGGTTATTCTGTCACCACATACACTATGCCACAGATGCTACTGTTTACCACACCATGAACTCAATGCATACTTCAGTGAGTATTTATTGAAAACGCATTGGAAAAAAAACTCACATTTTTATGGTGGTTAGTGATTTTTGCATAAATTTCATCCCTAAGGAAATTTATCTGAGCAACTGTCATAACAACTTCGAGTTTGGTTCTAAAATCTCCTCCAGTGCTGATGTGTTCAAAATAAACTCCAGTAAAAGATCCAACCCTCATGAAATGTTTATTAACCACAGGTGATTTACACTTAGCAAACAGCACAGGTGGCAAGGAGAGGCTTGATGTTTGCAGCTGTGGCATTCTTTTCCCCCTCACCCAAGGGCTCATTAGAAAATCCACCAGCTGCTCTGTTGAGGTGAGCAAAGCAGCTCAGGGACACTTTCTGATCCAAATGTGTATTTCTAGTTATCAGCAAACTCTAAAATCGAATGGTCCCTGTCTTAGTTCTTCACATTTATTATTGCCATTGGCATCCCCGACAACGAAGCTGGATGGTTAGTAGCAGCAGTGTCAGCGGCACGATACGATGCCCTCACTGCGGGGCTGCCTTGTATAATAATGAAAATTACTAATCCTGGGATTTAATGCTCGTATGTACAAATGCTACTAAAAGCACTTTAGATGGGTTAATTCATCTAATCTTCCACATTCGATGTGTTAGAAATAATAATATTCTGATTCTGCAGATGGGCAAGCCAAGGCAAAGGGAAGTGGTTGCTTCCCCAGTTAACACAGCTCCTAAGTGGCCACGCGGGATTCTGCACCTAAGTAGTCTGGCTCTACTGACTGTCTTTCTCCCCTGTACATTCCAAACTTCGTTACAAATGTCTTTTTTAATTATAAAGTATTATTCCTTTAGCAATCCTATGAAGATGTGTCCTGTCATTATCTCCTTCTTGCTGTAGATTTTATCTCTGTTTTGCATCTTTAGAAATGTCACCTATCTGGAAAGCAGCAGAGCTGCCTCTGTCCAGCACTGAGCTCTTGGCTCTGTATTTTGCAACAGGGCACAGGCCTGTTTGGTATATTGTGTTGAACTAATCAAAGAATTCCCACATGACACTCTGAAAGTGATTACTTCTAAGCCGTGGTGATGAAAACAGTGAGACGGGCCTTGCTCATATGTACACACTCACCTTGAATTTTAGCAGGAGCTCTTGTGGAGAGAATCAGATAAAATTAAAAGAACTTTGAGGGAAAGGAACTGGATAACTACAAGTGGTCGTCATTTCATATCCATTTCTGATCTCTCTCTAGACGTACTCCCATGGAAACTGTCTAATAGGTAGTTTAACTTTTCCCAATAAATTCTGCTGGTAGGAATGATTCACTTGGCCCATTCCTTGAGAGAATTCAATTCCCTTTAAGCATTATTAACTTATTAATAAGAAACATTTCTCATTGGCCAGGTTTAAAAAGATAGTCCTATTAATTTAACTATAAATTTCTGTATGTGTTCTTTGAAAGATTATGACTTTCAGCTCATAAAGACTGTTAACCTCTAATTCTGGTCTTTCCTGAAACTCCAACCCACATTTCTGTTTCTTTCTAGATAATACCTCTGATGCATCTCCTATCTGCACACATTCACTATCTTTCTCTTGTAGGCCTGTGTTTCTTCCTGAATTCTCTACTGAGTCTGGTGGGGTGGGAGTTCTACACAGCCAAACCACAGTTACCTTCAGTCTCTCTTTTACCCTCACAGATAATCAATTAGCAAGTCCCCCTTGATGTTACCAACTAAGAAGTGAGTTGGGAGTCTTACCCCACTCCCCAACACCACATCAATACCACTATGATTAAGTGGACCAAACAGTGGTTTACTAAAGGCCCTTTCTGCCCCCAGTCCCAAACTCTTCAAATACACTCTTTTAAAAAGATTCACATGATTCTTTCTCTTTTCAAAGGCCTCCCCATGAGATGTAGTTAATCAGCCAATAATAAAGATTTTCATTTATAATATTAATAACAACTAATCTTTGCTGAGCTATAAATTGTTGTATCCTGAATGCCTTTTAATTCATTTAATCCTCATACCTGATATGGTTTCACTTTATTATCCCAATTTCTTAAATAGGGAAACTGAGGCCCAGAGTAGTTATCTAGCTGTCAAGTCGACATATAACATGTATTAATTGTATAAAATGTCAAAAACAATTCATGTTTCTAAAAGGAAATAATTAAACCTGAGGATAGAGTCATAATTATATACTCCATAAACAGAAATAATCATACCCACTATCAATCAGACTGGCACTTTGAATGTTTTTCTAGTAGTGTGCTTGATTAAAGATGATGCATCTACGCAAAGATAATGTCTTTTCAGCATGAATAACATACAGTGTTATTTTGATTTAATCATCTTGAAGTTCGTGAATTAAGGGTTCCAAACAAAGAAACTTACATCATCTGATCCAAGTCCTCATTTGAAAACCAAAACCAAAAATAATGTTTTGAAATGTTTAATGTAAATGTAAAATTCCTGCAGAAGCTATGGCTTCTCTGTGCCCCCCAGCAGTCCCCAGCGATGTGCCCACCAGAAGTTGCACCTCCCTCCCCTCAGAGATGAATGTTTAGATCTGCAGCTTCCGGCTACCACATACAGTGTCACGATGACCAAGATGTTCTGGATCATGTGAGCACTGTGGATTTTCTGATCATGTACAAAGTTAAAGACCAATAAATAAACTGGAAAAGCCTAAGATAAAGTAGAAGTGACCTCAAAGGAAAACAGGCAGCCCCTGGGTTATAAACCAACTGCCATTTCTGACATATGCTGCATTTGGAATCCTCTTTACTTCTCCCAACTATGGGCAGCCTCACTCCCTTTCTGCTGTTGACCCGACCCACCCCAGCTCACCACATCCCTTCATTCCCACTACCTTCAGACTCCCATCTTCACCAGTCTTCTGCCATCATTTCCATGGTAGCCTTGTGCCTGCCCCTCACCACCACCCGCGCCCCTTTCTAGCAGTGCTTAGCTTATAGGAAATACAGTTGCACTGCTATGGAAGTGGGGAGGTGGGCACCTAGCAATCTGAATCCAGGCGCCCTTGCCTTAAGAAATTTTGAGTAAATGCATTTGCTGTTTAAGCCCCTCGGGACTATTAACAGGAAAACCTCAACTGCAAGATATACTGAAAGGGGCTTTTGTGGCCTGACAGGGAAACTCAGTCACAACGTGAATTACTATTTCTATGTTCTGACCTCTAAAGTAAGAGTTGATTTTACTCTGTGTTGACCACCTTGGTATTTTGACCAATTTCCTGTCATCCTTTGGGTGGTCAACTTACAGAGGTTCACTGTATGTGATTAATGACCTTTTACTTATTGATTTATAGGAGCTCTTTTTATATGGAGGAAATTTAATATTTTGTCACATGTGGTATAAGTAATATTTTACTTATTTCGGCTTTTGGCTCTAGATTTTTTTTGTCATATAAAAATTTTTCATGCCAATTTGGTTGAATTTATCAATATTTTGTTTTCCTTGGTTTTCTCATGTTTATGAAGGCCACTTCAAGACTATTAAATATTTCCTCTTATTTTTTTCCAGTTTTATAGTTCAAGTTTCTCTTATTTCTTTGTTCATTTATCTTTTTTTTTTCTTTTTGAGACAGTGCCTCAAGCTATCCCCCTGGGCATAGTGCCATGGCATGGCACCACAGTTCACAGCAACCTCCAACTCCTGGGCTCAAGCGAGTCTCCTACCTCAGCCTCCCAAGTAGCTGGGACCACAGGCACCCTCCACAACACCCAGCTATTTTTTGGTTGCAGCCATCATTGTTGTTTTTGGTGGGCCTGGGCTGGATTCAAACCCACCACCTTAGGTGTATGTGGCTGGCGCCTTAGCCACTTGAGCCACAGACACCAAGCCTGTTCATTTATCTTTATGTTTTAATTTTAACATATCTGGAATTTAATTTGGTGTGAGATCTGAGCAATATTATATTGCTCTAAATGGTTTCTCACTTAATAAATAATCATTTTCTTTTTCCACTTTCACTTAAAATCTTCCCCTTTACCACATGCTAAATCCCAGTGTGTGTTGAGTTTAATTGGAACATAATTTTGTTTAATTCATTCCTTTCTCTACTAATATCACAGATTTAATGATTATAGATCTATAATTGATCTTAATATCTGGTGAATTATCCTCTCTGCTTTTCTTCTTAATACAGTAATATTTTAGATTATTCTTATTTTTTTATTTTTCCATATTAACTTTTTAAAGTTTGTATAGTTCAAAGAGACAAACTTCAAAAGTTAATATGAAAAATACATTAGTCAACAAACTAAAATAATTATATAATAGTTGAAATAAGATCTTTCAAATAACTTAAAATAGTTTTTCACTTGATTCTCTTGTTTCACTTAAGGTCCACAGTAATATATCTGCAAATAATGACTTCTACTTTTCCAATTCTTATAACTCTTCCTTTTTTTAGAAACTGTTAAATAATAATGTCAGTCAAGGGCCTATTCTTTCATCTGCTTTTCATAGGAATGCTTCTAGATTTCTCGGTTATAAATTATATAAACTTTTAGATTAAAAAATATCATTAGGGTCAGTGTCTGTGGCTCAGAGAGTAGGGCACAGGCCCCATATACCAAGGGTAGCGGGTTTGAACTCGGCCCTGCCAAACTGCAACAAAAAATAGCCGAGCATTATGGCTGGCACCTGTAGTCCCAGCTACGCTGGAGGCTGAGGCAAGAGAATCGCCTAAGCCCAGGAGCTGGAGGTTGTTGTGAGCTGTGATGCCACAGCACCCTACTAGGCTGACAACTAAAACTCTGTCTCTAAAAACAAAGAAACATATCATTAGAATGTATGGAAGTGATATGTGCTTTTTATCTTTTGACTCTGCATGTCTGACTTTAAAAATTAAGCCATTTTTAAGGGAAACAAATTTCTATTCCTTGGCTTATTAACCAAACATAGGATTTCTAGTCTGTTCTTCAGAACCCTCAGCTTCTTTACTTACATTATCCTCCTCTTTCTCAATCTCAGTTGCCATAGGAATGTAAAAGGGTGTGGACGACAACTGGATCACCCCTAAAACCTCTAGCATAGACGTTTTCCTCTATTTACTGTGTTGGGTGGTACAGTGCCTAGATCCATGTAAATTCATACTGAAAGTTCAGTTTTGAAAATGGGTGGCTCTTCTCTTTGCACACCTTCGTAAGAGTTCCTTTTATGTTTAGCACAAAAGAGATAAAGATGAAAACACAAAAATTGGGTACAAATTTCCTGAAATAAAAACACTAGACTTAAAAACAGAAGACCTAAATTCCAGTTATATCTTGCCTATTTCTGTCTTTTCTTGAGTTAGTCATTTGACCACTCTGAGACACAAAGGTAATGAGTAAAAAAAGATTATTATAAGTTGTAAGTCACCCTCCCACCACAGGAAGGCAACATCTAACTTTCCAGGATGCAGCAAATCTTTAAAATGTTTGCAAGGAGCTACTTCTGCTTGTATTTGAAAGGTCTTATTTCAAACTTGCCTCGAAAGCATATTAAAGTTTTTTACAAGTCAAATGTAAACTAGAAAAAAATTCTTTGTATGCTCAAGCACATTGTGACAATCTTATCAAAGTGATTGGAAAGGAAAAAAATAATCATTTTAAGTTAACTAAACCAGTTTGCAATAATTATTCCTCAAATCCTAAAATGTCTTTTAAATTCCCTTTATTTTCCTATGCTGCAGATCTCAGCACAGGTTTGTCAGGGAATCCAATGTCAGGCAGAGTTGACGGTCTCCTTTTTGGAGCTTGTAGATACTCTAGGATGCATGCAGCCTAGAAAAATAGGAATGAGCTCCTCTGAGCCTTAATCTAACGGGTATCATGGTTGCAACTCTGGCTTTTTGTCCTCTGGGACAGGAGTGCCATTAAAAAAGTCCAGTTTACAAATGCCCAGCTTTACTACCGACACACAGTCTCATGTCCATTTAGAGTGGTTTCATGAAGGTAATGCCTCCCAGCCTTCAAATTCACCATATCCAACAACCACTGGTTCTGGATTTTTCCCTTTTTTTTCTTTTTAAAGCATGAACTTCCTTACTTCAAGGTTTTGAGAAATTTGCAGCCAATTCCCCTTAAAAGCCCAGTTCTCAAATGGAGGACTTGGTTGGGAGGATGAGAAATGTTTTCAGGTAGCAAGTCCAGAGACATAAGGAAGTTGGTAATGCCTCCTGAGGAAAAAGAGCCCAGAACATAGAAGCCTTGTGTGATCTCTAATAAGCTTTCCAATCTTTCCAGTCTCCTGTGGGAGCAAACCCGTGAGAGAAATGAATAGCTTAATAAATTATCCTGCCACTAATCGAGTTTAACGTTCAGGTCGTGCATTATTCTGTTCAATTCTGTGAGATGTATGCTAAATTAAACAATAAAGGGGCAGTGACTTCATGTGCCTTTAACGCCTAGGTTCTTATTTTGGTGTCACCCTTTAGATTATGTGGTTTGGGGAAGATCAGATTGTTGGGAGGATTCACAGATTGTTTTCACTGGAAGTTAAACCCTATGGCTCTTTAGCCATTCAATCGCTATGATGAATTAATTTCTCTCCTATGCATCAAAGAAAGCACTACTTATTTATCCTCAGTGCAAGAGCTGCAAAAATCATAAGTCCAAATCATTGTGTTCTAAATCATTCCAATCATTGAGTGTTCTTTCATTCAGATAAAATGTTTTATAATGGATGCCAAAAGGTTAAGATATGGTTTTAAGGTCAAATCATTTGAGTTCAAGTCACCAAATCCCCCCATCTCTTGTGGCTATGCAAACTTTTTTGTGTTTTGGTGAGGGTAGAGGGATGACTCTCAACTTCCTCACCAATAAAAATGTAATAATGATAGTACTTCCCTGTATTTATACATGTAGGCATGTTATTAAAATCAAAGCAATTTCAGGATCGGCCTCCTGAAAGGACATGTCTTCTTTAATCTTTCATACATTTAAGTAAAATTTAACAAATATAAAATACAGATTGAATAGCCCTTATCAAAAATGCTTGGGACCAAAGTGGTTTGGGATTGTTTTCAGATATTGAAATATTTGCATTGTATTAATTGAACATCCTTAATCCCCAAATCCATAATATGCCAATGAGCGTTTCTTCTGAGCATCATTTTGATGCTCAAAAACTTAGGATTTTGGAGTGTTTGGGATTTCAGATTTTCCAAGTAGGGATGCTCAACCTGTATCAGAAAGATGTATGTCTGATCACGGCGAACAAGAGGTGCTGTATTCTAAATCGTAAGTCGAGGTGCTTGGATAAAAACTTTCTAGATAAAAAATTCCATTTTATTAACTTATCCAACTCACAGTGATTAAAGTATAGCCAACCTGATGCTGCTAGACATGTTCTGAAAAATATTTCAGTCCAATTGAGAAAAAGCGTATATGACCTGTAGGGGAGATACCTAACCAATTAACTCTGTCACGTGGTAAATGCCTCCAGCACACATAACTCATAGGCTACATAATAAATTCAGAAAAGAAACATGACATCAGATCAATAATACTAAGTATCTGGCTTTTGAGCTAACTCCTGAATCAATGGCATATGCACAGGTTGAAAAGGGATCCATGTTGTAGAAATCTAGCTGAAGGGGTTTATAAATGCGTATAAATATGGGCAGATATCCTGATTCACTGATAAGAAAATCAAGAGGACAATAATGTGAGATTATCTCACTGTGTGGAAAATGAAGTTTGCCAAGGTATGTCTGAGCTTTTATTTGGTTGGTGCTAAATAGACACCACATCCTACACCTTTAGTCAACAATTTCTTGGTGAACTAATCAGTATTTGTTTCCTTTTTTAGGTTTCTTTGGTTAGCTTGGTAGCCAATGCTCTTGGCTACTCAGAACTTGGTGCCATCAAATCCCTACGGACACTAAGAGCTTTAAGACCTCTAAGAGCCTTATCCAGGTTTGAAGGCATGAGGGTAAGAAGAATCAAAGCCATCTAATTATTTATGTCAGATTTATTACTTGTAGAGAATTATTTAGATGCAAACTGGTCCCCATACTCTTCTGAGATTTATTACATAGAATTATCAGAATTAGAGCCAGAATCTCAGAGATCACAAAGTCTAGCCTCTGGAAATAAACATTTATTTCCGCGGGCCCTCAGAAGTTGTTTGTGACAGAACTAAAACTCGAATCCAAGTCTCCTGGTCACAGTCAAGGCGATTTTCACAACACCCCAAAACTATAGGCTGCCAGTTACTTCTTTTCCTTTCTTAGACACACTGAAATGATTAGAACCACCACTACTACCTTCATCCCAGGAGGGGAGTTTTCTTTCTCTCAATCGTCTGATTTCTTCTAAATTTGTAGTAATGAATGAAAAGTAAAATGGTGTTTTGCTTCTTGGATTAAGTAATAAAATTGTTGCACAAGAAGACAACATAAAATAGTAGCCTCTCACAAAATCTTACAGTCTGAGCAACTAAAGCAGGGGGTTGGGATCATTAAGCAAGCAGCATTTCGGCAACCCCAGAGTTTGTTTTATAGAGCTCCCTTTTCAGCGAGCATGCTGAGTGAGTTTCGCTGTTTCCATAGCGCTTATATTTTCCTCTCCACTCTGTTCCTCAATATGTATATTAATGCAGGTAAACATAGAGTCCACACTTCCATAGATAACTACTTGCCACACCCCTCTCAGTACTGTTTAGCACAAAGGCCAGTTTCGTTTTCAAATGTACATGGATAGTGAGTTTCTTCTAGGCCTTAGGGCTTTTTATAAAGGAAGCAGTTTGTTTGGGACAATAAAAACATTTCAGCCTTGACTTTGAGTTCATTCATCAGAGAGAGTGAAACCCACCACTAGACTTTCCAGAAGCAGTGTAATCAAGGAAATACTTGGTATTTACCTTGTAGTTTTATTTCATTCCTACTGCTAAAGAGAGGTACAAGACAAATTTCATAAAAATTACTATATAATTTCAAGTTCTTTTCAAACCAGTCTTTATCATTACTGATCTAAGTCCTCATCTGGTTTCATGGCTTCATATTAAGTTTATTTTTGAGGAGAAATAGCAGTTGAATAGAATTTAAAATTATACTATTACTGATACAAGCCCTCATCTGGTTTCATGGTTTCATATTAATAGTTTATTCTTGAGGAGAAATAGCAATTGAACAAAATTTAAAACTTACAAATTTTTTCTAATCTGAAAAATATCCTTAAGTTTAGAGTTTTTAATTCCACAATATAGCAGAAATAACATTTAGGCTATAAAATATGATAATGTATTATGCATTTATTTGAAGCTATGGCGGTCATTTGACATAAGTTTTGGTAGGAAAAAACCTGGCAAGTATATTGTATATGGCTTAATTTCTAAAAGAAATAAAATCCAAGTAGCATAGGAAACTTTTACAATTTTAGATTCAGTTTTTGATATCAGTATAAAATTCCTTGGTATGTATTTCTAAAATGATGTGTACAATGTTTAAAAATAAAATAATAGTTGCATTTACTAGAAATGCTTAACTGAATAGCCGGATATGAACATTTAGATAGGAAAATTACGGGCAACCTCCCTAAGATTTTAAAATGTAGTATATTTTAATCTTTTCTGAATTTAATGGGAGGCTGAGTGTCTAAATTTTTCTTTCACAAAATTACTCAGCCTGGGTTGATGCAGCAGCACGTGCCCCCAAGTGGACGTGTGAAAGAACACAGGGTCCTAAGAATGGGGTCATATTCAATGCGGGGATTTACTGAGAGGGAAAAAAGCATCTTACAAATTCCTACGCTTATCTTTCATAGCCCTAAAAAGTGAACCTGATCCATGGAAACAGATTTCGGGCCTTTTCAATACTTTATTGGTGAAGGATTTGTTTACTCTTTCCAATCATCATTCATTCATTAACATTCTTACAAATTAAAATGTGTTGTTGAAAGATGATTGTTTCTTCTGTTGGTATTTAATTCATCTTTTTTTTTTCTTTTTTTCTCCAGCATACAAACATTTTCTGACTTCATCTTATTATATCAGGTTTCTGTTGATTTCTTTTCACACTTCGGCTTATTCCGCTTTCCTTAAGACCTTAGTTCTTTAGTTGTGTCACTCCTTGTTTTCCCTTAGAAATATGTGCTAGAAAATAGTAGAAGAAACGACTTGTCTACCTAGCTTTTTGTTTAACTCTTTCAAACGTGTATTAGTACTAAGTAACTAAGTGAAAGGCATGGTTTCCATTTTGACAGTTTGTGAGTCGCTGTCTCCTCGTTTCCCCTTTCAGGTGGTGGTGAACGCTCTGGTGGGAGCGATTCCCTCCATCATGAATGTGCTGTTGGTTTGTCTCATCTTCTGGCTAATTTTTAGCATCATGGGTGTGAATCTGTTTGCTGGGAAGTTCTACCACTGTGTTAACATGACGACGGGTAGCATGTTTAAAGTGAGTGAAGTCAACAATTTGAGCGACTGTCAGGCTCTTGGCAAGCAAGCTCGGTGGAAAAACGTGAAAGTGAATTTTGATAATGTTGGTGCTGGCTACCTCGCGTTGCTTCAAGTGGTAAGTGTCTACTGTACAAGTTTAGAAAATACTTTTGAGGTATGTCTTTAAGATTATTTCTCTGATGCTCTTTGAATGATTAGTATATAATAGTGGAAGAGTAGTGGTTATAACCCCTATAGTATCAGCCTGACTATAAAACGATGTTGCTTCACTATAAAAAGATGTTGCAGTTGTTTTCTTTTTTTATTTTCCCCCATGTTCCCCAGTGTTTTCATGTGTTTTTATATTCTGCTTCTTATTTTTTCTCATTATATTATTGAACTCCATTGCCATTTTTAGTCTTCTGTAGCAATCATTGCCAGAGGAGCAATTTTATATATCAAACGAACAATATATTTATAGTGTTTAATTAAAATCTATGAAGTATTAGCCAGATGACTAGTCTGGGCAACATAGCAAGACCCTTTATTAATAATAATAACAACAAATTGTACTTAAAAATAGACTGTGTTCCAAGGGAAATAAATAAAATAAGTTTCAGAGTCTAAATAGAAATATTTTCTACTTTCATTTCAATCTCTTCATAGGAAATGTCATAATATTATACAAAAAGTTATTTGTGGTCCCACCAATTACTCTCCCTCCACCCATCCTTCCCCCTCCTCTTCTCTCCCTCTCCCCTTTCCCCTTCTTCTTGGGCTATAATTGGGCTATAGCTACATTGTACCCCATGATTGCATTAATGTACGCAGCTATGATTTAATAAAAATAAAGTTATTTGTGAAAATACTGTCAGATTTTCATCTGGTAAAATGTCACATTCTTGCATGAAGTTTTTATGTACAATTCAAATCTATATTATTTCCAGGCCACATTTAAAGGCTGGATGGATATTATGTATGCAGCTGTTGATTCACGAGATGTAAGTATCACTCAAATATTATTTATAGCTACTAAATTTTCTATGGTAAACATAGTTAATAATTTAAGTGAAATATTCAGAATTTTATATTGGAAAAAACTAGAATATTTATTGTGGCATATACAAATAATCTTTTTATGCCAATGTGTTTTAATATAGATCTTGTTTTGGTTAATGAATGTCTGATATGTAATATATATCTAATATGAAAGTATATCTAAGTGCACGGATCATGCGACTATTCAGAAGGGAAGTTTAAACCTAGACTATTCAGAAGGGAAGTTTCTCACTGGGGGAGTAACTTGTCTGTCCCTAACCCTGGACAGTATGATGAACCAGAGTCTATGAAGCTTCCAAGAACATTATGAGACAGAAAAGCAAGCAAGTTTCAGGGGAATTCAATTTTGAAAATAGAAAAATGATTCTAGTTTATGCTCTTAGCTGTTGATGTTCTGCTATTAAAGCCATTCCAAAACCAAAGGGAAAATATTGAAAAAATTATAGTAATAAGACTAATAACAGGCTGTTTATATCACTGTTGTTTATATTAAAGAATATATTACGGGGAAGATACAGTGGGGAAATAGATTCTCACAAACAATTATAAAACCTGCAAACTTTCATTATACTAGATCATGCTAATTTGAAAACAAAGAACAGGGTGGCACCTGAGGCTCAGTGAGTGGGGCGCCAGCCCTATATACTGAGGGTGGCGGGTTCAAATCCAGCCCTGGCCAAACTGCAACAAAAAATAGCTGGGCATTGTGGTGGGCACCTGTAGTCCCTGCTACTCAGGAGGCTGAGGCAAGAGAATGGCCTAAGCCCAAGAGCTAGAGGTTGCTATGAGCTGTGACACCACAGCACTCTACTGAGGGCAATAACATGAGACTCTGTCTCTACAAAAAAAAAAAAAAAGAAAGAAAAGAAAACAAAGAACAATTTTTGTAGAGTAATACCTATAGTAAAAGTAGCACTATATATTAAGTAATAACACTCACAACATTATTAATTTAGTTTAAATATTCATTGTGCTTTTAATATTTTCTTAATATTTTCAATGTCATTTAGGTTAAACTTCAGCCTGAATATGAAGAAAATCTGTACATGTATTTATACTTTGTCATCTTTATCATCTTTGGGTCCTTCTTCACCCTGAATCTGTTCATTGGTGTCATCATAGATAACTTCAACCAGCAGAAAAAGAAGATAAGTATTCCTTAGCTTTTGCCTTTTTCCATTCTGAGGTTCTGTTACATACCAAATAATTAGGATACCTTTACTCCTAACAGACTTAGACTGTGTTTGTATTATTTTCAGTTTAGTATGTGTTCGATTCAGCTATAGGAGGTTCAAGCCTGCAGTTGGTAACTCCTCTCTAGGTTTAAACACTGGAGAGCTTTGTGTCAAAACTGTGACACTGCCTCAGACCCGTCCAGTGGGTCTCCAGTGCTTTAGCTTGGCTTACAGAGCCTTGCGGGAATTACCTCCACCTGGTCTCGCAACTTCACCTTCTCCCACACCTCATCCACTTCCCTACTCCCCAGGCGCCACACGGCCTCTCATTATCAGCACCATCGCTTGCTAGGCACACAGCTGTATGAGTTTTCTGCCCTTCTCTCAGAAAGCCATTTTCTCGTACCTCCAAGACTTTATATATTTTCTCTTCTTAGAATGCTTTACCTAGGAAACCCTTAATCATCTTATAAGACCTAGCTTAAGGGTACACGCCTACATAAAGCCTGTCTCTGTGTCTCTGAATTTATTGTTGCCTCTACAGCACTTTTTTTGTTTTGTTTTTTTTTTTTTGGCATATCACTATACACTCTCCGCCTGTGCTTTCAGTTTCCTGCTCCATTTAGGAGCAAGATACTATAACAAATATCTACGCCAGCACGTTGTCTAGAACACAGAAAATGTTCAAAAATTGTTAAATTGAGAAGTGAAACTATCAACAGTTAACTGAATAAAAAACATTTTTTTTATTTTACAAAAGCATATTTGAGATTTTTTTCTGCCTACTCCTAAATATAGTATAATCAAACTAAGTCCCTGTAGTAGGCAGAGATTCATGTGCTTCTAGATTTTGCACTAGTATTAAATTCACAATTTCAAAAAGGTTAGCTAGGCACAGTGGTTCACACTTATAATCTCAGCATTTTAGTAGGCTGAGGTAGAAGGATTGCTTAAAGCCAAAAGTTCAAGACTAGCCTGGGCAATATAGCAAGACTTCATCATTTAAAAAAAAAAAAAAATTGAAGTCAGCTAGGTATGGCGGCACATGCCTATTCCAGCTTCCCGGGAGACTGAGGCAGGGAGATCACTTAAGCCCTGGAATTCTAGGCTGCAGTGAGCTATGATCACATAACTGCATATTCAGCCAAGATGATGGAGTAAGACTCAGTCTCATTAATAAAAATAATAACAATCAAACAAAGAATTTCACACAAATGGGAAAAACAGTATAAATCTATCTGAAGCAGACTAATAACCACTTAAAAATTTGAGAAAGTTTAAAGGAAGGACAAATATTTTTTGTAAAAGTGCTATTTGTTGGGATTGTAACCAGTTTTATGCTAATGTCTTTACTTTGGAGGTCAAGACATTTTTATGACAGAGGAACAGAAAAAATATTACAATGCAATGAAGAAACTTGGATCAAAGAAACCTCAGAAACCCATACCTCGGCCAGGAGTAAGAATTCCTCATCTTCTTTAACATTCCAAAGCCTAGTTCCATATGATCAAATTGGGCAAGGCTCTGAGTCAGAACACATTAGGGGATGTCACCAATATGCAGCCCTGATTACAAAGTTCATACGGGCAGCACAATTCATCACTTCTAATTCATCAGGAATTACCAGTTCTTTAAAAAGAGGTCATGGTCTTTACAATTTGTGAGTTGAAAGCTTCCACTTCAGGGTTCCTAATAAATGCTTCCCAGGCAAGTCTCATCCTTCTGCTGCCAACAACACACCTGGTTCCTCCTACTCTGGCCTTCCCTCCAAGGCCTCCCTTTATTTACACTCCTTGTTTTCTTTATTCTTAAGACTAGACGATATGCCTAATCTGTTTAGAAAGGGAAAGGATGACACCATATTGTTTACTGTTTCACCAAATGCATACTCTGTAGGGTTTAATAATAATGAAATGGCCTAATACGGGTTATGTTCATGGAGCTGTACTCTCTAACTCATCTACCTTCTGAGATAGGTGCGGAGTGAGGAAACTGAGGCCCAAAGATATAAGCGTCAGGTCCCAAGTCACAAAGCCCATAATTGCCAGAACTGGGACTTGACAAGTTCTCGTGAATCCTCTAAATGATTTCACTTTACCATACTGTAGGTAGTTGAAGCTGGAAGGTGGTGGGAGAGGGCTGAGGGAGGTAGCATGCCGTACACAGAAAGGAATGAACCACCTTCACGGAAGTTCATTTAAATATGAAGACACTGCTAGTTCATTCATACTTTTACCCTAAATGATTAAAAATGCATTTATCTAATTAATATTAGATATATTAATATATCTAACTTAACAGCCATTATTTAACAGATAATATTATAGTTAACAGCCATTATTAATATAGCAATCTATAAAAACATATGGTTCCTGAGATGGTTGTTAATAAGGCGAAAATTTTTCCAAAAGTCATGCATTTTTATTTAAACAAAGGTAAAGAAAAACAGGCAAAAAGAAAGATAGATAAATTAACAAACTCATACGTTCACAGAGCTCGAGATACAAAATTTATTTATTTATTTATTTATTT